GTCGCCACAATATAATCATCTGTTCATTGCATTGTTATCTAAGACTTGGTTAAGATCCAAGATGGGCGAGGAAAGGTTGACAGGCTTGGCTTTATTAAATATACATCGCGATATTGAAGTGGACGTCCAAGTAATTATAGATAGATTTGCCAGCGAAAAAAAATAGAAATATATTGCTTTGAAAATTGTAATATATTTTAAGATAGGAATATTGTATAAAAACATATACTAAAACAATATTTATTAGTAATTTTTTTATTATATTGCTGTAATCAAAAAAAAAAAATTGTGAGTATAAAAATAAATATGAATTATTAGTTATTAGTAGGGCTGGGATTTTAATGCGCCCAAAACCCCGAAAAATGACCTAAAAAAAGGGCAATAAATCTACAATTTTTTTTATTTTTAATAATTTTAGTATAAATTAGAATAAAAAGTTTTAACGCAATCGACTCGCTGTCGAACATTTTACTTATGGCATTTTTATATTAAATTATCGAAAAAAATTAACTAGAGTAATAAAACGGTGTTAACGACGGCAAAACTCGTACTGAACGTCGAACGATATAATATCATCGGRCRTCGATTTTACCGATTTAAGATTATTTAACAGGAAATGCGGGTAGAGGTTACTCAAACCTAGTCCGATAATATAATACGAATTAGGAGTACCTACTTATAATCTGTTATATTTATTTAAAAACCATGTTGCTGTAAAAATCTTAAAATAAAATTTCAAATTCATACATTTGGTTTCCAAAAACTCAAAAAATGCTGCAAAAACTCTAAAATGCACTAAAAAATTAAGAAAATTACCTAAAAACTAAAAAATGCAAAATAAACTTTCTTATTCTCATTCAAATGTACATAAAACAAATTTGTGACAAGACGAGCATTGGACAGTAAGTTTTGAAATACAATACATAGTGCATCGAAATCCCAGCCCTAGTTATTAGTGACGAAGGTAACTCTTGTCTCTTGTGAAATTTGAGTTTTGAGGTAACCCCCCCCCCTTGACTGAGCTTCAGCTACGCCACTGAATCGCACAATCTTGGAAGCCAGTTTATGTCGCCATCATGTGATATCACTATGCCCTCAAATCGTTCACGCAGAATATCCATTGTTTTACATAATTGTGTGAGGATGTGGCTGACATTTCAACGATATTTTATTACATTTACATATATAATTGCCTTATAATGTTCATTAAATAAAAATAAAAATTGATTAGATATCTCACACCCAACTTTTTTTTTGCACAATGAAACATCGAGTGTCCTTATTGAAATACTCTATACATAGTAGTTTAATTTTATTAGTCGCTTCTCGCTTGTTTTTACTTGTTAATAATGCCGAAAACACCATCAACTAAATTAAAAACTTTAATTTCACAGTGGATATTTATATCAGGTTTTTAATATTTGCTTAATTTTGTTGCACATTGAGAATATATTAATAAAAAAGCATATTTTATTATGATTTTTAAAGAATATTGGAAGAATATTTTCAACTTTTTAAGAGAATACCTATATTAGCATCTTATTTTGGCTATTTAAAAAAAATATAATTCTGGGCCCTAGCCATAATAATACAATTTAAATATTATTAATTAACGGGTTATATCAAGAGCGATACATAAAGATTATGATACATAAAAGGTTACATCAATGGGTGCATTGACTTTGCATGTCTTTTAAAAGTTTTGTTAAGTCTGGCTCTTAGGCTATTGTTTTAAGTATCAAGTTATTGTTTATGTATTATTTCATATTTTCAAAAGCAACAAAAATAATATAATATAAAATTATGTGAATTTTTTTATATTATATAATATTGTTTTTGAACATAAAATATTAATTTTTGCGTGAGGAACTGGAGAGCCTCAATTTAAGATAGAAAGAGTGATATGTGGCTCGGGAGCCACAGGTTGCCGACCCCTGATCTTAACACAATAATAATTATGGCACGAATATCAGTATAGATTTAAATAGTGCATTTTGGTTATAATATATAATATTTATTTATATGTACTAATTTTTAAATTTTATAATATGTATTGATAGTTCAAACTGATAATGTAAATTTCAAAGACTGAATATTAGTTATTGTTTTTATAAAATAGTAATAGTATATAATGAGTGTATACTGTATAATGAAACTCTTAGGTAAAAATTTGAAAATTAAAAAATTTAAGAAGTAAAAAAAAATTAATAAATAAACTCTAACAATATCAAAGCATTGTCAGTACAGCTAGTTAGAGATATTTTGACCAGTCACCAGTATAAAGGTAAATACACATGGAAATACTACTCAAATATAAATATATGAGTTCAGAGCATAATGCACACACCGTAACGTTTATAAAAAAAGTTATATTATATTTATATATTAAAACATTATGCATTAACTCAAACTTTGCCAAGGTAAAAGAACAAATTTATAATACATCCCAGTTTAAGTGCCTAGCACTTAATAAATGGTGAAAGATGGGTCATAATTTGCGGTGTGAATGAGCTGTATAAAAAAGAGGAGATAGGGAAAGAGTGTGATAAATGATAATAATAGGTGCATTTTTATTTTTTTTACTAAAATATTCTCATAACAGAAATAGTTTAGTTATTATTATTTTGATGAAATTCAATATTCATAAGCTTAAAAATAAAAATAAGAATAAACAACAGGAATAAACAACAACTAAATCATTCTGAGATACTTATATTATATTAACGAAATATAATTCTTTATGACTAGAAATATAGTCCATGTTCTATAAATAATACAACTCCTTAAAACTTACACCAGATCAGTAAATTAATCAATATTCCTTTCATCATAATAGTTTAATGTATGTAATGCATACGAGGAGTTTATACTGTGATGGCAAGCAGCATAAAATAGATGTTGTATACAATTAATCCTGAACTGATGCAAGCAACAATACTAGAATAATGCATCAACAATATAGTTATAATAAATTATCGTTAATTAATATTCTTAATAATATATACAGTTATTATAAAAAAAAGTCACATTAAAAATGTATAAATTGGACATAATATTATTTTCTTATAATAAGTTTTAGGGCATGGGGATAAGTTTTACAAGTTATTCATGGTACTTAAAAATACATAATAAAAATAAATCAACAGCTGAAAGGGAGAATAATAAAAAAAAAAAAATGAAACAATTAATATCAGTAATATTGTATTAACATAATTAATCAATATATTCATTTTTAGAACAGTAGTTGAACATTAATTATTGTATGAATTTATCATCTTACCATGTAGCCATTAATATAAATGTGCGTATTTGTTGTTTTTAAAAACTATTTATGTATACAAATGAAATTCACAAAAAAATATATAAAATATAATTACAATATTGCAAATAATATTTAATTTATTGATTACTGATTAATTTAGTCAATGTATAAAAACTGTAAATAAGGTAACATATTTTCTGCTTTAAGGTTGTTATAAAAATGAAACTTAAAAATATATTTAATACAAATTAAAAGGAATTTATATAATTTTTTTTTTTTTTAAGATAAACATTTGTATTGGAAGAAATAGTTAATGAAAATTTTGTTTAATAGTAGGCAATAATTTAATTTAATATTGGGAAAATATGCAGAAGTGCAATATTTGTTCAATAATTCATAACATTTACACTTAATCTAAAAGACAGTTATATAAGAAATTTAAAAAATTAAAAGAATATATATAATGTAGAAATATTTCCAATGAAGACTAGGTAAAATAAAGTAAAACATAACTTAATGAAATTTCATAAAACAAATACTAAAGGGAGGCATATAAAATAAAAAACTAATATATTATTTATAATCAAAGACAAACTTAGATAAAAATAAATAATCTAAAAGGAGGACTAAACCTAGTCTAAGATAATATGTATCAATTATACATATGCATTTTTATACAACATGTGACATTTAAATAAAGTTATCAGCAATAGAGAAAAACAAATAGGCTACACTATTTAATAGTGGAGAATAACAGTTAAATCTAATATGAAGTGTGGTATAGTACAAAAATATTCCAATTTGAATCATAGATATTTAGGAAAATTACATATTATATATCATTAAAAAAAAAACTATCAAAAAAAATTGACTGACATATTAGAGAAGTGACTAGAGGGCTTAAGCTAAAAAAAAAGGAAAGGAAGAAAATTATAAAGTCATACAGATGATTTTATGTTAAGTTAATAAAATAAATACAACTTAATATTAACTTCTGCATTAAACAACAAGTATTGGGATTGTAACTGAGTATTTAACTAATTATTATTAGAAATATCATAGTTTATCGTAATTAAAATTAATAAACAAAATAATAAACATTGGCTAAATCACTGGTATAAGTAAAGTACAAAAAAATTGGATAAATTTATTACATTCATAATTATTGACTAACAATTAAATAAATTTAAAATAAAGTAATTATATTTAAGGAGAATGAACTATTCGTCTTTAGCAACTAAATATAGCTAATTTTAAAAGCACCATAGACAAATTGGTTGTATAAAAACATTCAAATTCACACTAACTTAACACACTATAAACTTATCTAGTAAATTGTATTATTGAAAAAAAAAATTAGTCAACCAAAGTTCATTATTGTTTTAAAAATTTTTTTATATATGTAAATGTATTTAATCGGCCTATGTAATAGTTGTCAAACTAGGCCAATTCAAAGATGTTTTGCTACAATATATTATAATGCAGTTTTATTTTTAAAAATTATTATTCAATTTTAGCAAACACGTATAATTTCTTAATAATAGATTAATCTAGATATAAAAACAACACAAATAACTTTTATCTTTGGCTAGGATTATTTTAGTTGTGAATTACATATTATTCATGGGCAAAAATGTTTTATTTATTATTATAAATATTAAAATACTTGATGTTTTCTAGTCCATTACCAGTTATGTTCATGTGCATTTCATACCATGACAAATGCATCTTTGCCACAAAATAAAAATGGATACTGGTCAATCATTGTTTGCACAGTGTCTTCTAAGTGTGGCCGTAATTGTTCAAACCGTCCCATATCATTAAACTCAATAGGTAGTAGAGTTGGCCACCAACATATAGCTATATTTTTTGAATCCATGCTGTTAGCTTTACAATTTTCAGCCACTCTGATAGCAAGAAAAAATAATTAAAAAATATTCAAGCCAAAACAGTTAAAACAGTCATTATCATTACCTTACAAAATGACGAAATATAAATTTCAGGATTTCAAAGTTGACGTTTGGTAATTTTTTCAGAAGATTCCGAAGTGCCATCAAACGGCAACTTCTATCAGCTTTAACTGAAACAAAAAAATCTAGGTAATGTTTTAAGCATAGTAACTAAAACTTAATTTTAAGTGTTGCATATATTTTAATACATAAAAGTGAACTAGATCAAGTGACAAAAACCTAGAAGGTCTACAGGAAAATAGTCCTCTCATTTCAAGTTGCATTCTTAAGAATCTATGATTAATTTTAATTGATTTAAAGTAAAGAAATAAATTAATATATATGATAGTCTTGATTAAAAAAAATCAATACAAGTGAGGATTTAGAGGCCAAAGCTTATTTAATCCTTATGGACAATAAGGTGGATTTCATTTCTCAGTTCATTCCCAATTACGATAAAATAACAAGTATCAATGAAATTCATGTCACAGTAGTACTTTCAAAATCATGAAATGGAAAAATGGGTTTTAAGTTGCTACATGAACAAAAATCAAAGGGATGTTTCGTGAACTATTGTTATTTTGTTTGAATATTCGTACTTTTACAGCAACATTATATATAATATGAAAACGCTTACCTGATAAATCTTCCAACTCATCCATTAAGTCTTCAGTAAACAAAGGTGGTAATTTTTTTGAGAAAAAATCTTTAAGTGCAGTCGCGACAGCATTAACAGGTATGTCAAGATTTGTAACATTTATGTCGTTATCTAAAAATAAAAACAATATAGTTTTCATGGTATTTTAAATTTTTTAACATTTTAAGGCATTTTAATGTTATTTAGATCTTTAAAGATTATTGTAAAGGTACAATTTCTCTGAAGCGTAATCAAGTAAGCATAGCTGTCATACAGACAGTTTACAATTCAACTATTTAACGCTGCAAACAGTACACTTCTTAAGATAAATAGAAATAATTTGTAATTTGAGTAGCAGTAAAAACTTTATTGCAAAATAGTATACATTTTTAAGTTAACTATACTAACCATCTTCAAATCTTTGAAATAGAAGTTCAACATGAGATCGATTTCCTGGTACCCTATAAAGACCTTCAGAATCTAATCCTTCAGCTTCAATAAATTTGACACATTTTTCTAACAATAATGGAATGACATTGTTTTCAGACTGAACAAAATTTTCTAATGTTGGTTGATGTGTCATTGGTGAACCACTAGTTTTAACTTTGCTTTTCTTTTTCTTTTCTCTCTCTTCTGCAACTTTTCTTAATTTTTCTTCTTTTAATCTTCTTTTTTCCAACTTGATTTCTTCTTTAGCTCTTTGTTTTTCTTTTCTTCTGATAGACTTATCATCTTCTTTTSCTTTTAAATTGCCAATTGCCTGAAAATCATATAACATTTATTTAGAATATGGATTCCATAATAAACCATATAATGTTATGCATGTGTTTAATTCATATAGTGCGATATTATTATTTTTTATTTAATACACATGATATAATATATTTATGAAAATCCATTTAGTTTTTTTAATTCTAAACAATGAAAATTGTGATTATAAAATATATATTTAAACGGTTTTAAATGTTAAGAATTCAAACGTATTAGCTTTAAATAATTATAGTTCTAAAATTTAAAAATCTGTAATAAATTAAATTTGATTAAAATAAAATTGATTTAATTGGGATGTAGTATTCATTCCATATTAATTTTCTACCTGTATAATATTTAAAAAAATTAGTTAAATCAAACACAATAAGTTAGTAACTATAAGTTATCTGAAAAGTGTACATAAATAAAAATACTAACTGATGGAGAGTTCATGCATCTTGGTGAAGATACGTCCAAACTAGATTCTTCGTCAAAATTGTAACTTAAGTCATGCATGTGAGAAGCTATAAAAAAAAGTTATTAAAATGTGTATAACAAGATATGTAATCACAATAATGATTTTAAAATAACTGTATTACTCACGTCTAGTAGAATACATCGTTTCACTTTCAGTTAAATTATGACAATCTTTATTACTAAGAGCACCAGATGGTATAACTGGAGGTTGTGGAGCAACCATTTGCTTACGTTTGTATCGTAAAGACCTTTTTTCCATTAATCTAACTGAGGGATGAACCCAAACATTAGGTTTATCATCAGAATTATCAGTTGATGAGTCCGAATTTGGCTGGTGGTGGGGTGTTGGTATATTATTAGCTAATAAACAAAATGTAATAAAATTAAAATGATTAACATTTATATAAAAAATATTTAAAATACATACTATTTTTAATTTCACTGTTAGCATCTTCCGAGTAAAAAGTACCTAGCTGTCCTGACAGAGAGTTAAAATTCATACTACACCCATTGGAAGATACATTAAATGATGGAACTTTAGGTGTAGCAACAGGAATGGCAGTTCGCTTTTTCTTAGAACGTTTTTGTGTAGCTGATCTACGAGACAATTTTGAAAATGTGTCATTAGATGAATTATACAATGGTTCACGTCTTTCTATTGAACTCCAATCACTATCAGAATCTGAATAATCTATAAAAATAAATCAATGTTTAAGTTGAATAATGAAAATTAATTAATGAAAATAAACAACATACTTGGCCTTCCTTTTTCTCTACGGTGCCTTAACTTATGTTTACTTGATGCAGCAAGGTTATCTTGAACTAATGTATATGAATAATCTCCATCAAATGGATAATGCCCGGGCATTGCATCTTTCACCTGTAAAATAGTAAATCACCATAAGAATTTATATTTTAAAATAATTTTGTTATAATACTAACCTGAGCATATTCAGAACCTAAATCTACATTTTCCGGTGTTGCTAACGGTGCACCACAATTATAAGATGAACCGCCACTATTATATGATCGATTGTATTGCTCTTTACCACTTATGAGATTCATTCGAGAGATKGCATCTGTGACTAGTGTATAATCCTTCATATTTAATTTACCAGGTTGCTGTAAAATAATTATTATACATAGAATATTATGGTACGATTGTTAACTATAGTGAATTTTTAATAATATAGACCATTATGTTCTTAAACTTTTGAAATAGGCAGACTCAAGGAGAAAGATTTTTCCAAACCATGAACTTCTTAACAATTATTTTTTTKAATTATACATATAAAATCAAAGATATAATACTCGATTAGTCAATTTATTTTACCTTCATAGTATGGTTGCTATTTTTAATCCGAGACTTGGACATATGACGTCCCGTAGTAAAAGCATGTTTAGAATAATTATTTATCCATAGACTTTCGTTATTTGGAGCACATTGCATAAATACAGAATCGTCAACCCATCCTGTAAATATATATAAAAAAAAAAACAATAAAATCTGTTAAAATAAATTAAAAAAGTAAAAGAACTATGTCTTATTCTATAAAATGTATTTTATTTTTTTTTAGTATCTTGTACTACACAACACTACCTGAGTCATGTGTTGCTAATGACTCTCTTGATCCACTAACATCTGCTGCATTTAAAAAAACAAACAAGAATTTGGTTATTTGCTTAAAATTATAATTCAGGAGAATTATTTAAAGTTATAGTTTTAATATAAAATAATGTTTTATAATTTACCAAGCATACTTATTAGTCTAATATAATGTACAAATGACAAAATGTGTTAGTCATAAGAATAATATTTTTGGATCAAGGATGAAAATAATGAATCTAAAAAGGGTGAACAAGGGTCAAACTAATTCTACATTCATTAATGCTAATTAAAACATAAAACCATGTACGTAAAATTCAATAGATATAATTAAGAAACCAATTAACCATGTTTAGTATTATTTTAGTACAAACAAATAAACATTAATTAATGATATATTAGGGTTGTTTATATGGTATGACGATTGTATATAATAATTCAAATATTAAAAAAAAAAAATAAGTTAAATGCAGTGATGTATGAAATTAAAGCTTGTATACTAAATACATACAATATATGTATATCTTTTTCATAGCGATAATTTTTTTTTTCTTGTTCTAAATTGTTAAAACATTTCGGTTTCTAGTTCTATTGTAATTACAGTTTGTATGTACATATGAATTTTAACATGATGCAGGGTCAAAAGCATGCTATCAAAAAAGATAATAAAAACATAAATATAAATTTAACGAAAACTAAATTTATGACTACATAACATGCAACATGTACATTTTATGAGAAAAATTATAAAAAGCTGATTAATTAAATTTTAAGAAGTTAAAATGTGGATGAGCAATCGTTTCATTTCTAAATAATGATTTGTTAATTATAATTGGGAAACCACATTGAAAATTTTGAAGAATTTTATTTGTGTTACATGTGATTTCATCAAGACTGGAGTTTGAAGCAATCATCTGTGAATTGTTGTTGATACCAAGTCCAGCGTGGTCTGGTGGTGCGGGTTCAGGTGGTGTTGTAGGTCGAGGAAACACCTGAAAGCCTGTAATACCACCACCTAAGCGTAAATGTATAGACTATCAGTATTAAAAAACCCTGTGTTCATATTATATTGAATTTAATCATGGTAATTGGTTGAGTGGTGGATATAAATTTATAACATTTCTACTAACACTAAAAATACATAAACCAATTTATTAAAATATTTTAGTTCATTCACTCCATAAGTATTTCAAAACAATCTTAAATTGAAACTTAAATCATCATTTWAAAAAATCAGCGTTTTAACTTCAAGCAATATTAATTCTTAAAAAGGTGTTGAATTTTGTAATTTATAGAAAATCAAATACCTCATGTAAATAGAACTTTAAATACATATAGTTGAATGAATTTCATTAGAACCCTATTATTGGGTATTAATAATGAACAATATTCAATTCAGTTTAATATCTGCTGTTGTACTTAATTTTTTGTAGATTAACTAAATTAATGTCTATTTTTAATAGATTTTGTTTATTGTTTAGTAAAAAGCATATTAATTTTATTATTGCAAAATACTTAAGAGCAAAAATTAAACACTGATGCTTATTTTACTTCTGCACCTCAGTTATAGTGAAACTATATAAAATTAATTTGTACCCAATTAACAATGTACCTGCTTTGAATATATAATCTAAATAAAGAGTACGCTCGCTTTAAATCTAGAATTTTAAGTTTTTACCATGATATAAAAATAAGTATTTTAAAAACTAAATACTATTGGCAGCTATATTCTTTTTAATTCTAAATAGAATGACTTAAAAATATGCCATATCCACATGAGTTATATCATTCTAACAAACATACAACATAACAAATTTTAAATTTACATTAATACATTATACTCCATAATTTCTGAAATAAGAGTGAAATTACTTCTCTAAGAATATTATCTTATAGACTTTTTACTATATTTTAATTTGAAAAAAAGTAGTGAATATTTTGATATGCACAATTTACAATTTTAAAATACTCATAACTCGCTAAAAAAATGAAACGTCATAAAAAGCCTATAAGATGCCCTAAATAATATTTTCACTTTTAATTTTATGATAGGTAATTTCACTCAAATTTTAGAAATCACAGAATCAAATTTATTATTGAGAACGTACAATTTACCATGTTGTACATTTGTAAGACAGACACAACACATGAGGGGTGATATGCCTTCTTAACAATAATATTGAACAATAAAATGTTTTAATTAAATCCATTCAAATATTTACTACTTCCTATCACAAACATCACTGGTATAATGTTTGATAATGTATTTAAAGTAGAGTAATACAATAAAAAACAACATTTAAAACAAGATATTAAATTAATCATTATCAATGAAAAAAAATGTATATAGATGAAAAAATATTTGTTTTCTGTCTCACTCTCTAATTATTTGATTAAGAGGATATCGCACCTGCATATGTTTTCTCCGTCTTACACGCGTACTATATAGCAAATTGTACGCTCAGCAGAACACGTGTAGCTCCGTTAGTTTAAAAATTAGAGTGAATTTACCTCTTATAAAATCTATAGGTAAGATTATTATCTAGACAACCTCATATATTTTAATTTTAAAGCGAGTTATGACTATTTCAAGATGTACAAACAATTTACAATGTTAAAATGCTCATAACTCACTTTAAAATAAAAATATAATAAAAAGCCTATGAGGTTGTCTAGATAACAATCTTACCTTTAGATTTTACAAAGGTAAATTCACTCCAATTTTTAAACTAATGGAGCTACACGGGTTCTGCTGAGCGTACAATTTGATATGTGGTACGCGTGTAAGACCGAGACAACATATGCGGGTGTGACGTCTTCTAAAGTGGTAGATGCTGTTCATATAGTATAGTAAATATTTAAGCTAGAACTGACGTAAGAATATAAATATATTTTACTAAAATTCTTATAGTGAATGATAATATTTTTATATTTTATTATGATCATATTTTTCATATAATTTGATACAGCATTTAAATGCATTTTATAATTAAAAAATAAAAACTACATAAGTTAACTAAGTATAATGCTAATTATAAATCATAATATTACCTTGTTTATCTAAATTATTATTTGTGGCATGAAGCATGTTGTCTACTGGTGAAAATGTATCACTATCATCACTTGGACTCATAAGATTTTCACGCGAATGTGTTAATGAATAACTGTCATCATCCTGAGTTATTCCACAAGGCAGTCTTCCATATACATTATTACTACTTCTAAAATGTTGTGAGTTAAATATATAATATAATAAGGTAAAATAAATTATTACCCGTCATGTGAAGAAAGATTCATTTTAGAATATTCTATTTTAGATAAAGGATTTATTTTTCTATAAATTGTTGGCTCTTCCATGTGAAAAGCTTGTTCAATTTCTGATTTCTTTTCCCAAACATCTTTGAAAAAAGGAGTATAGAATGAACCTACAAAAAAAAAATTGATAAAAATTGAAGTATTTATGATATGTTTGTTGATATGTTTGTTTGTTTGATCAAGATTATTTACTTTTATGCATCAATGAATTAACTATTGTAACGAATTGTGCTTTTAATCGGTCAGCAATTGAACTACCATCATTAAGTAACTGTTGACTAATATCGTTATGAAATGAATTAGTTCCAACTGGTTCAGTAACAGCCATTATTTGGATTGGTAAATTTGGAGTATTGGTGGAGAATGAACTGCAAGAAAACCCACTAAAGAAAAACGGATAGTAATAATAAAAATTAAACATAAGTTTAAAATTTATTATTATTTAAAATTACTTTAGTGTAGCTAATGAAGCTTTTCGTTTGGCATAATAAGATAAAATAAATCCATGTACTAATTCTTCACGGAAGGCATTTGCACCATGGTAGGAGGACATAATCACTTCTACTTTACGCTTTGAGGATCCAAGAAATGTTTCTAAAATAATACTTCTATCTCCACTCAAATAACAACATTGATGACTTAGTAGTGGTGCTAATATACTTTCAACAGAGTATGGATCATCACAAAACATACACATAATAATGCTAGGTTTAAAGACAAAATAACAAAACCATTAGTATTTATATATATTTATATACATATATTGATTTAAAATTTACCGTATATCTGGATCAGATGGGTCCATAATTGATTGATACTCATTTAAAAATCCAACTCGGTGAGTTATACTTTCAACAAGCAACTTCATCGCATTAGAAATCAAATCTGCATCAAACATTGATGTATCTCCATCTTCTACAGGCATGTCAATAAATGGACATTGCAAACTAAAAACATAGAAAAAAAAATATTTATACTGTCATTTTCCTAACTAAAAATTTCAAAATTTATTTTAACCACATCAATTAACGTTTTAATTAATTATTGAGTATTTGTAACAAAAAAAAAAACAATAATTGGTTGATTTCCTGATAACTTTTAAGATTTTTTTGAATTGAAAATTCACGTTTCTCTAATCTTTTTGGATGTGAAATATTTTTAAAACTGCATTTATATTTTAAATTTTAAGATCTGTAGTAAACCGTGGAGAGTAAAAAGTATAAGCACGCAACAACAATTTAATCATAAAATAAACAAAGATGATAAAATTTGTAAAACAAAATTTACCTGTCAGCTAAGCTTTGGCCTTCTTTTTGCAATGTTAAATCTTTTTGCCCAATTCCAGATTCACTTATGTATAATAAAATTATAGGCAATCCTTCAAATGGCAGTTTATCATCCTTCTCTAAATTAGACAGTAATGTTTTTTCGAGACTATCTCGTATATACTCAAATGATTCAGAATTTGAATAAACACAAACACAACCTTTATTGAAATGTTAATATAAATCACAAATTCTCAAAATTATAATTACTAATACTATTTACCATTAGGTTTAAAATCAGGTGTTTGGAATGAGTTTTGTGACAGATTTACATCGCCATTAATGACTCGATATTTCAGTTTATATATTTGGTTATCTAATTCATATTCTTTATTATCACATTGTGCCTGAAAATTTATATTTATCATTGATTAGAACATTAATTAAATTGATATAAAAACTATGATTCATTGTGATATAGTTACTTTTAACTTAGCAGAAAATTCATCTGCCAAACCGTTAGATCCTAATATTACTAAATGTAAATTATTGTCAGACTTTATCATCCATTGTTTATTATTTCCAGACGTAGGTCTAAAAAAAAAATATTTATTAATTGTTTAAAAATCAAACAAATTGACAGGTAAATTCATTAAAATAATATAGAGTTTTACTTTTGAACTCTATCACTTAAAAGCTTTTCAATTAATGCGTCCATACAATTAGGAAAGGCTGGACAGTGTTCTCTAATAGGACAATGCACAAAACCCAAATGTTGGAAAAGCATTAATTTTCTATCTTGGTCCAGCCTGTCTAAAGCTTTATACCTTAAAAAAAAAATTATTATTTTTAATATATTAATTAAATATTACAGAATACACAATTTTTAACAGATTTACCTAGAATCTTCTTTTAAATCATCAGTTATTTCTTTTATATCATCTTGAGTAATGGTTCCTGTCGGTGCTATACTTTTGAAATGGTAAAATAGATCTGCATGTTCGAGTAATAACTCCTATGTTAAATACAAGTGAATATAAGTTATTTAATTGTTTTCTCAAGTAATTTCAAAATTAGTCGTGTACCTGAAAATTGTGTTTAGCTTTTTCAATTATACTTTTTTGGTGTTTATCATAAATATATTGGCAATCATCGTGTGATAATGCTTCAAAACATTCACGGCCCATAAAAAGCACTCTAACTTCAGACATTGGTTTACCAGGAGTTACATAACCAGCATCTTGTAACAGTTGCTTAAATTGTTTTTTCCATCTAATTAAAAATAAATAAACACAATAACCATTTATTAAAAGAATAAAATAAAAATTATAGATATTATAACAAATTTAATTGAATATGGCTATACTAATCAATGATAAAAGAATCACCTGGTATAAATTTCATAAATTAAAAATTATCACTACAGATTGGATTTAATTACATTTTAAAGTTGTATAACTGCATCTAAAAATATATTAAAATTACATTTTAAATTGCACTATAATAATGTAAAGGTAAATAAAAAAAATATTTTGAATTCTCGATTCTTAATTTAAAGAAAAAAAAGATAAATGCAACTTTTTTGAATTAAAATAGCTAATAAAATGCATTTCCAAATTATGTTCATCAAAATTAATCTTCAAATACTTAAAATATATAGGTATAAAGAAAAACTATGTTCAATGTCTTCACTAGTTATTAGTGGATATTTAAAACAATTCAATAAGGTAGGTTTTATCTCAAAATTAATAAAAATTAATATCATTTTTACTTGAAATATATAAATTATGTATATATTATATTGGTCAATAATGAATAGTAATAAAGTTTTAATAATGGTTTTATGGTACAACTAAAAATTATCTGCTCATAACAACAAATTGGTATATCATATTAGTGTTTTTATACAGTAAATTTAGCCAAGTTATGTACTTTGTTCGTCTAAAAACAAAAATTGTAAAAATTGCAAAAAAAATGCATTATAAAATTAAATAGATAAAATACATTTACATAAAGTATATATGTACTATACATTTGATCAGATTGGGTTTATCTTAACCGGGAAAAAAATTGCCATATCAATTAAATCCGATCTATAACTAAACTTTATCATTTATTTTATAAATTGCAATACATACTCCTTCCGATTTTGTTCCTGTTGTAAATTATTAGCATGATTTTTAAATACTGATTCAGCTTCTCCAGTTTCTAAGACATCACAAGGAATTCTTTTTTCATCCCTTTCACTACCTTCTTCTTGCAACTCTAATTCACATTCTGTCCATGGAATATCATCAGGACATTTATAAAAATAATGATTAAAATCTGGATGATCTTTGATGTGTTTTTGAACGGTAGGCCAATCACTAAGGCAAAGAAAATTATGTTAATAAATAATTGGTTAATAATTTAAAAATAAAATATTTGTTCTTTTAGTTATTTGTTGTTTACAGAAATAGGCTGAAGGTAACTAATATATTATGTTTGCTAGCTACACAATGATATTTAGAACCAAAACAAATTTTAATTATTATCAAAGATTACATTATAAAAATATTAAAAGCAACTAACAGACAATAAGAAAGTGAAATCATTAGTGTAATATTTTATGTTGAACTGTGTTTTTACATTATTTCAATCAGATTCTTAAGAAGCTCATAAAAATATTGACAAGAAACAAATACCTTAATGTGAAAGTTATGAACTCAATATTTAATTACAATGTACAATATTTTTTAAGAATAAAATTGTAAATTAATAGACCTAAACCCATACTATAATATTCATTGAATATGTATATTATAAACAAAATTTATATAATATCCATAATAATTAATATTAATACACTTTTTTTTTCATAAATAAGATTTGACACTTGAGCTTTTTTTTCCTGTTAGGACCGACAGCAGAGGAGGATTGTTTGCAGAATACTACCATTACTCAAGTTGGCCACCCATGTTAATAATAAATATAAGTACCTACCCATCTTTCAAAGTAGAAATTTCAGGTACTAATTCTTGTAATATATCGGGCAACATTTCCATGTAGTTTTGTACTCTTTTAGATACTTGTTCATCTTTTAACATTTTAACATGTCTCCTAAAAAGTCTTTGTGCTTTATCTGATCCAAATATGTCTCTGTACTTAATATACTCATCGCATTTTGAAAGCTTTTTTGATGTTTGACTCCATAATGCACGGTAATCGGTGACCTAAAATTAAAAATCATATACTTATGAATAAAGTAAAAAATTTAAATGTTATATTTCAAGTTATCACGTTTAGAATACAATTAAGTGACAAATTAAATAGATTAATATAATACATAATAATAATCAGATAATTCAGGAATGAGATACAATCTTTTGTACAAAATTATTGTTAAATAATAAAAGTGTTTATATTTACTTGTGATTGTATCAATGTCTGGTATGCATCAGTAGTACTTTCTAAGACTTCTTTTCGCATACGAACAGATTCCAAATAAGGAACTATTTTTGTACGGCCTTTAAATCTATCAATTAGATGAGCTAATGCAATGAAAGCTGTATCAACATTAATATTCTGATGTGCCGATGTTTCAACAATTGGTATAGCTCCCTTAAATTCTTTACGAGATACAAGTTTTTCAACTTCTCGTACATATGCTTCATTAAATTCATCATTTTTTGTAGTTACTAATACCACGGGTTTTTTTGTTTTAATTACATTAAATAAAATATTAGTCACAGCTTCTAATTGTTTTTCTATACTACGACTAGGTACTACACTGACATCAAACACACAAAGAAAACCATCAACGTTAAATTTACCATCAGGTAACACCTTTTGCTCATACTCCTTTTCAATGCCTGAAATGAATTGAAAGAATTAGGTTGATTAATTCTAATTATATTTAAAGTATGATACATATTTGTTTTTTAAATATTTATAATTAATAACATACCTAATTGGTTTTTACATATATACATTAATTTTTCTGCTGATGTGATTTTAGTGGCTGCACAGCGTTTGACATATGGATCCATTTTGCCTCCTTAAAAATAGGTAATCAATAACATTTATATAGTTTATCAATTGTGTGTATTATTATAATTTTCTTTTTACTTTCTTTTAATTTACTTCATTTAAGGCAGCAAAAATAATCTTTCAACATTAAGAGGATGCCAGCGCACTATTTGTTTTCTTTCTCTGATCCACACGTAACATAGACAAAACGCATATACGCAGAATCATTTTTTCTATGTCCTTAAGTAATTTTAGAGTAAAACCTTCCATTACAAAAAAAATAAAGAATAATATTTTTGAGGGAATGACATATCGATTTTATATTTTATTTATATTTCACTTTGTATTCGACTTTCAAAATAAACAAAAAAATACTGTACATTTAAATAATGTTTAGATTATTTAGAGACAATATTTAGACAAATCAATATGTCATTCCCTCAAAAATATTATTCTCTTTTTTTTTTGTAATGGGAGGTTTTACTTTAAAATTACTTCAAGACATAGAAAAAATGATTCTCCGTATATGCGTTTTGTCTATGTTACGAGTGAGCCAGAAAGAGAAAACAAATAGTGCGCTGACATCCTCTTAAAAAAAAACCAATATGCTACACATACTGCATGTTTCCCTATCTATAAAAATATAGGTATCTACCAAATTTCATTATGCTTGTTTTTACTTTGTCATTCTTTAATTAATAGTATAATTTTTACAACAAGAAAAAAATTTGTCTTTGTTAGTGAGTTGAATCAATTACTTGTGGTTATTTGTATTATTATTCTAGGCTTCTTTTTCAATTATCTATATTTATATGAATATTTTTCTCCTGAGCTAATAATAGAAATTAAAAATGAAGAATCTTATACAAGGTTTTAAAAAAACATGTAATTTATTACTTAATTCGAATATATAGTTGTTACTTGTACAATTTAATTTAACATAATTGGTATAAATGCCCGATTTCGCTTTTCTACTTCAAGAAAAACGTCTTTCTAAAATGCCACCATGCAACATAAACCAAAAATCTATGGTTAATAATTCTTTGTCCTTAATTTTGATCACTTACTATATTGTCATCACTTAAACCATCTTCATCTTCATCTAGCTTATGGTCTCCTAAACATAATCTTTCACGATTTATAATTCCTTTTATCTCAGAACAAGGATTCACTAATTTGTACAATTATGCTAGGATCTTTATTGTTTAGTTTTTCAACAGCTACTACCATGTCTACATAAATTTTAGCAGTTGACTATAGTTAGTCTAAATATTTTTTTAAATACTCAATACCAAACAAGTTGTACAGTATCGCACAAATTTAGTATATAAAGATTTTTTTTTTTTTGCTTATTGAGTGAAATGTTTGGGGCTCCCTTTTTATTTTAGTAGATTAAAAGTATACGGTTCTCTAAATGTCTGCTTCTGAATCTCACTTTCACTATTTTTAATAACTTTTTTCAATTTGCTACCACAAATGTTAAGTGTTATTTGTCGATTTGTTCATTAACATTTTACAAAGTGCATATTCAACTTTAAATGAACACAGATTTATACAAAKAATGTTAATCATTTGAAAAATTGCATTGATCTAATAACTGGTGTTGAAATACAATCAATAAAAACAATCTATAGATACTTCAAAAACAACGAAATAAAATATTAAAAATCTGGGAGCATTGATATAGTAGAATCCCAACTCCAAGAAGAGTTGTAACACTGAATAGACAAGCTTTAAAATGTATAAATAAGGAAGGTTTATAATTTTTATGAACAAACAATTCTACAATTCTAGTATTATAACAGATAGACCGATAGTACATACATACATATAAAACAAAATATCAATTTACCTTTGAATGGTTGAAATGACGAATCGTCTATAAATTCAGTTTGTTCTATGACTTGAAAAGTGAAATCAACACCTTCTTCAGATGTTTTTGTAACATCTCCCCAGTATAAGAAATGATCATTATTAACTACGCGTCCACTAAAATCAGACTAAACATAAAAAAAATTATATGTTAAGTGCTTTATTCATTTATTCACTATTTTATAAATATTGATAATATTTTACCTGGCTTAAAACAGAAATATGATCAACATTAAAGTCATCAGCAAAAAATCTCATGAATCTGTTACACAGGCATGATTTACCAATTCCCACAGCTCCTTTTTCTTTCTCTGTGCCCGAAAGTCCCACCACTGAAACATTGATCCAACGTGATGTATCATTTTTCTTTGCCATTTCCGAGACTTCAGACTTATTTTGGCGCTTTGTCAATGTGGCATAGATTGGTGATTGGAAAGAACATTTTGATTTAAGATTTTCTAAGCGACTAAAGAAAAAATAATAATAATTTATAAGGTTAATTTTATGTAAAAACAATTAGGTAACTCACAAAAATATATTATGAAAATTATGTACCTTATATTACAATTAAGCAGTATAATCAATTGCTTATTGAAAAGGATGAATTACTTAAATAAAAAAATAACAACCTTTGATAAAAATTATTTAGACTAGTATCTAATAAATAATAGATACCTAAAATAGCTCATTTTTAGTTAGGTTTAATGAAGATCTGGAGTTTTATTACTTGGCTAGATCTAAATGCATATTTATAAACATGTCAGTTATAATAATTATTACTGATAACATAATATAATATTGTTGCTAATTTACTGAAAATATTTTTAATGGTTTTATAGTCAGCAAAAGTAGGTAGGTTACATACATTTTTAATTTTAAATAATATTTAAGTTATAAAATATTTTAACAAATAATACTAGATTTAAATCATATATTTTCATGGTTAGAACTAGGAAAATTACTTATTTCAACTAAATACCTAAATAAAAGTAAATCATGATATAATTAAAAAATAAAGGTACTATAAAAATTTAAATTTATAAAAGCATTAACCGGAATGAGAACATTTATTAAATAATAATTTTACTTGAATATTAAATTGAGAGATCTATGCAAAAATTTGGAAGTATAAAAGTATTTTGTAATTAAAATATACACTTAACAGGCCCTGATTTAAGCGAATGCATAGGCGAATGCCCTTGAGAATACCTTGATAACTAGTGAATAGCCTCGTTTTGATTCATTCAATTTATCAAATATTTATCTTATTATAAAACACAATACCATTATTTGTATATTTAAATTTCAGTGTCATATAATCTACATGGACTTTGAAAATCTGAGTCCTCGACTCTTCAATCTGTAAATCAGCCACTGAAATCTATATATTGGATAATATATTTAGAAACAGATAAATAATTTGAAAATACTGCAGTAACAAATAACAACAATTTATTACTCCTAAACATCTTCAAAATGTTTTTAATAACAAAAATTATGCATAGTTATTAAAAATAATTATAATTTTTAAGCTACCTACAGTAAAACTTGTCTCATCCGGACCCTTGATAAGACAGAATCCTATTCGGTACGGAAATTCATTATGGTTCCAGTAGATTTCTACAATTTAATAAAATATTAAACCTTTGATAAAACGGAACTTATCTAACATAAAACAGAAAGCTACTTTTTGGTCTCGTAAATCCCTTTAACAAACGAAAAAACATATCATAAAATTAATAAAAATATTTTTGATAACCAAATTTATTTTACTGTTAAACTATTATTAAGGAGCAATTAATATTTATCAATAAATAACTATATTTTATCTTGAATCTATATCATCAGTGTTTGTTATTATTAATGAAGTTGTAGTTTACCAGTCAATTGCAAGATTGAAAAAATTGAAAAAAGCATTGTTAAAAAAAAACTTTACACAAATTTGGGAATTTATAATTTTATTACTTCATTACATAATTATTTTATTAATACCTACTGAATATTTTCTTCAAATTTCAATCTATCATTATTTTGAAATATCTAATTGATACTTATTATACGTGATTATTTACTAAAAATCAAAATGCCTACAATATTTATTAATTTTTACAATTTATATTATTGGCCAGATAATGTCACATCTTGCGGAATATTATAATTCTATAGTACAGAATTTTCCTTTTTATTCAGTTATATGGAAACCTGCCTAAAACGGAAATTTTTATCATTTTTGAGCAATTCTTCATAAGACAGGTTTTACTGTATATAGGTAAACTATACAAAAATATTTTGACAAAAACATTTGTTCTTAAAATAATATTAAAGGATACAAAAAATTAACTTATTTTTAAACTTTCTTCTACATTTCACATACACCAATTTTAATAAATAACCAATAACAATTATTTCTTATAATAAAATAACAATATTAGAAATGGTATACCTAGTTACATTTAAATGCCAACTAAGTTTATAAATGAGCAACCACAGTGAAAATTCTTAAATGTTTTAAAAATATACATTATATACTAACTACTTTCATTATATTATTACTTATTTGTATAAAATAGACAAATAGCAGGCTTAGCAAAAAAAAATATTTGATTAATCGATAATATAAATTTATAAGGAATTTTCTAGATTAAACTAAAAATTCAAATTTATGCATTGGTTCTATTAAATATACTTTTTCAATTTTTCTATTACAAAAACTATAATATTTAATATTTATATAAAAATAAATACACAATGATCATGGGCGGGGGTAATCATTAATGTAATCATTAAGGAGGGGAATGAGGAAGATAGACCCTCCCCCACCAAAAAAAAACTTTTATTTTACTAAAATTTTATATTTGGAGGGGTAGATTACTGTATAAGGCTTGTAGATCTTGCTTAAAACATATAATCTCTCCCAAACCAAATTCCTAATTACACCACTGACAATGATTAGAAATTAGATTATTATTCGTGATTTCAATTCTTATCTAAGACAAATTGTAAATATCAATATTAAATTAAAATCACCATGTTATCCTTAAGTATTGATTAAGTTGATGAATTTATGTATAGTGAAATTTATAAATGTTTAATAACAGACAAAATCTGTATAAACTTTAATCATCTGTTAGTTATAGAATTATTTAGTCCAACACTGGCCAATAGGTATTACTTCAAACAAATAGCAGGTAGTAGGTAACTAGTGTTGATACATACTAAGATTAAATACTAACATTTTTTTCACCTATAATTAGAAATTGGTTTGACAGGATAGGAATATAAGATATTAGTTTATTTTAAAATACTTAAATATTGCCTAATATAATAATGTATAATGTATAAGGCTCAAAATGTATGTGTACCAGACCTAAAATTATATATACACATATTATAACTAATGTTGATAATGTGTATTACAATTTAGACTACTAAATAGTAAATTACAATATCTTAGACAATAACAAAACTGTTAAAAGTAAACAAATTTGATATTCATAACATATAAATCAAGGTATAAATGCATTCCATGTTTATATTAACAATAAGCATGAAGACCAATTATTGGTGGTACTTAAATCTATTTATTTATGATAATGATAATAATGCCAAAATGTATTATGAATAATATCTATCAAAGTACCTATATTATGGTGGAAGGAGGGGTTTCAGTATTGAATGAATGGTTTGTATAGTTAGTATTTACTCAATTATTCAGAATTCACATTGGAAGTAATACTTATAGGTACTTGCTACTACAAATTAATAAATAACTAGGGTTTCATTACTATAAAAAGATATTTTATTCTAAAATCTATTAAAATTTTAGCAAATTGAAAAATAACTACCTACCTGCCATATTAAAAATATAAAATAGTGTTTTATATAAGTGTTTCAAACTCTGAAACAATTAAATGTTGAAAAGTAAAGTTTATAGATAAACACTTTGAATATAAAATAGGTATAAGAATGAAAGAAAAAAAACTTACTTAAAACCATAACACTACTCTATTTTTTTTTTAAAATTAAAACGAATCTATTATTTACAAGATTTAAATGTTAATAAATCTTGACAAAAATTGAAACATAACCTACATTAAATGTTTATTCCTCGGTTTATTCTCATATTGACTGATTCTTTAAAAAAAAAAATATTCTTAGAGATTCAAGTAGGAACTAACTATCACGGTGAAATCGTTATTGATTAAGCCAATCAATAAATCAATGATTTTTAACATTATGTTATACCAATAACTAAGTTGTGAGTACCTACCTATATAAGCTACCTTACTCAAAATAAATCTAAAATATGTTGATTTCTTTATGTTAGAAGTAAGTTTGTGTAAGAAGATACTTGTTTTTGTGTAATAAAAATTTATTTTTTATATTGGTACACAAAATTTATAAATTGAATGTAAAACCTTTCAATAAGGTAAGATAATATAATAATAATTATTATATATGTATGTGTGTAATATAGACAATCGGGTAGGTAATAATCTGTATACCTACAGTATTATTATTCAAAATGAGGTGTAGTGGACTAGTGGAAAAATAAAATTGGCAGTTACATTGCAAAATAATAGTTAAGATGTTTAAAATTCAAAATAGGTACCTCATCAGATTACACCATCTTGAAAAAAAAATATTCAAGTGAATGGATTATTATTTTTTTAAAGAACATATTATCTTATATTTAACATTCTATGATAAGTGGAATCTTGAACTTTTTAACAATTAATTTAAACTTACAAATAGATACTAAATGACTTATATTTTGATGTTCAGGTGTTTTAAGTTGTGGTAACTAAATGCAGCCACACATCATGAAATTATGTAAAATATCAATCATGTACACAACAGTGATTAATGTGGAAAAATACCTAATAGGTACATACTTAACTACACTTTTCGTTCATACAAGTTTCTCCCGAGTCAATAATCAATATCAAGAAGTGATAATGGCTGTTCATCGCGCGCGAGTGTGTGTTGCGTAGGTGTGTGCATGTGTGTGTGTGTGTGTGTGTGCGCGCGCGCGTGTGTGTATGTGTGTGTGTATGTGTGACAACTTGAGATACTAGGCACCTATTGCCTACCTGACGATATGTACTGGAAAAACGTTTGACCGTGAAATAACTATTGGAAAAAAAGGAACACCATCGGCGATGACCGATGGCAACGACAGCAAAAACGACAACGGTCATCGTCACCGCCGCGTCACTAATACATGGCAAGGCGAAAGGGGTTGTTTTCGGACGAAACTCACCTGAAATCAATGGTTGATGATGTTGGTGGCACGGCAACGAGACCGTGTCGACGTGAATGGCGAGCACATTGGAATCAGATCCAATTTGTTGAAGTGTGTTATCGATTTGGTACCGGGCAAAATACGCGAACGCTGATCGGCGGCGGCGGGGGTGGCGGCGGCGGTTATTGCGAATTCCGTGGTTGGGTTGTGTGTC